TGTCCATACATCTAGGCGGCCCCGCCTGGGTTTTTGAAGAAGTGGCCGGCTGCTTCTCAGCCGCCACTGTTTTCCTGGAAGACCCAGGAGAGCTTGCAACAGTCGTTCTCCGGGCCTTGGGGTCCGGCTGTTGCGAGGAAGAAGCCCTTGGAGTGCCAGACTGAAAACAAAAAGAGTTAGTATATGCATAATACAACTTAAAGGGGAAGAGTTTTCAAGGCTGACCAAGGGTGCCTCCTTGCTGGGGGAGTCGGCGTACGACTGCTTCATTAGTGAAACCCGCAGCATGGCCGCCGCAGTCTTAGATGCTGTTATTTTACTCATGGCGTCGGCTGAAAGAAATAAACAGCAAAGTTAGTAAAAATCCCAAGTAAACAAGGCGTGAAAAAACAGAGTATTCGTCAGGCCGGCTACCTCTAGAGCACCGACTGCCGAGGCCACAGGCGGCCAAGAAGTACTCATCATAGAGCCACTTGAAGCTCGGGACGCAGTGTAGGGGTACTTGCTCTCGTACCCCTGAAGTAGAGTTCACCCTAGTCTCTACTTTGAAGAGTCCTTTGTCTAGGATCTCTCTTTTAGCCTTTGGGGGAACAGGCGGCATGCTGCGGCCGCCTGCAAGAAGAGGCGGATCCCTGTTCCACTTGTTAAATCGTTTGTTCAGCTCCGTGTCTGAACTCTCGATAATAAGGAAGGTGTTCCGCCAATCCTTCCATTTGTTTGCCTTACCTCTCGTCATGAGGTAACCCCTGTGGCTTGTTAGTTGATACCAGCCGGTACCTCCCGACTTAGGGGTCCGGCTGAGATAGTTCATGTGGGCGAAAGCCTCAAAACTTGGCTCCACCCCGTTCAGTTCGCACCCGGCCACATAGCCGAGTACGTTTACCCAAGAGTTGGGGGCTAACTGCCATAACCCCAGATCATACCCATCTAAAATCCGCTGAACAGCCGGATGTAATGGGAAGCGCAGACCAGCTTTGATGGCCGCCACATAGCAGCCAAAACAGCCGTCACCATAGCTGGTACCAGCCGGCCAGACGACAGTATCTTCTGGATCCGGCACAAACAGTAAATACTCCGGGCTCATTTTGTGGTTAGCAATAAAGCTCGCCACGTTGTCTCGCATGGTTGCGATCCGGCCCCGGGGCACCCTGCAGTAGTAGGGGGTGTTTTCCTCTCTGTAAGAGGCGGACGGCTCTGCCCAATTATCCCCCTTCTCCACTGCATGGGAACTTCTCGCCTCTTGTAGGCGGTTATGTTTTTCTTCTGAGTCAGAAGAACTATGGTCAGAAGAGCTGGAATCGGACTCGTCCCCTGACGAGTCCGAAGAGGACGACTCCTCCCCTCTCCTAGAGGGGCCCGCCTCCTCTCCCTTAGAAGGAGCAGAAGGTAAATTGGACATGTCCACGGTTAGATGAGAAGGGAACACCTTGGTCCCTCTCTCAGAACTGTCAGCTTGACAGTCGCCTCGTTCCACATCTGGCGCCTGGTCAGATGTTTCGCTAAGGAGTACCCTTTGGGAGGAGCCGTCTGAGTTTGATATTCTAGCAGTCTTTTTTGTTCTGGCCATCACGTTCTGCATAGACACAGATTCAGTCGGACTTTGAATAAAGGGCAAAGATGGGTCCAGAAAAGGGCAGGCGGCACTCCTAGTCCTAGATTCAGCCGTCCCCGGTGACCGGCTGATCACTAACTTAGGGCGTGTCGTGTGCTTCCATGGTGCCATTTCAAAAAATAAAAAGAAAATTAAGAGTAAGAGAACTGAGTTACCTGAACGGATGACAGTTGATGAAGTCCTGAAAGTTCGGGTCAGTCGGCTTGTCAGAACAGGCGGTAGGCAGAAAAAGTCCGAAAATGTCAGAGCAAGTTCAGGGGTCCGAATGTTCTCGCAAAAATTCTCAAATGTGAAAATGACCGAAGTCAGCACTTCCTTTTATAGGCAAAATGAGAAGGCGAAGGGTCGCCTCCGAATTCAAATTTGGGCGGGAGAATCTCCCGGCCGTCTGCAAGGTGACACCTGTAACGGGCCGTCGCCTGTCACCGTGCGACGCCTGTCACAGGCGACACGTGACCAGTCGCGTGCCACCTGTGAGGGGCAAATGATTAGGGGATTTTTATCCACCAAGCACCGTTTGACAAGTGGACCAACCAGGTTCCGCCACGCGTCCTCCATGGACCACTTAAGACACGCCACGTGTCCACCCATGCCAAATGGGACAACCGGCCATCAAGGCCCATTTCAGTCTAGAAGCCCGATCGGCTCTAGGTTTACCTTAAACCTAGAGAGTTGCACGCTTCCCAAGGCTATAAATACTCGATTAATCCTCATTAATCAAGGGACCGAATAATTTACGGAACACACTAATAACCGGCTGATCTCGCTAGCAAAGCAGATTACCTACATTAAATACTCTCACCTAGAGAGACCTTATTACTTTAATTTCTGTATTAATTACTCCTTAATCAGGTACTAACTTGACCGTTGGAGGCGGAGCTCTCAGGAGTCTCCGTTATTTTGCAGGTACAGGCGTCCGGTTCCAGTCTCGGAATTGTAACTCTCCCGCAGGACATCAGAAAACCCCGAAACAATATTAAATATTGTTATTAACTTCATAGCTATAATTTATTTTTAAATGTTATCGTTCATTTTTTTATTCATTATAGAAAATGTGAAGAATTAATAAAGAGTGAAAAATCCAAACTCTACAATCACTAATAAAATGTAGAAGATTCTTTTTTTTTTTTTTTTTTTTTTTTTTTTTAAGAAAAACCTATGTAGGAGGAAAAAAAGAATGTAAAAGAGACCAATCGTCAATAATTTTTACTCAATAGGAATAGAAATTGTGTATTATTTAGTCAATTTAGTTATAAAAGCTTTTAGGAAAATGTATAATTAATCAATCATTTTTAAATATTAGTTTTTCCTTGAAAATGTATAATTAAAAAAGAATGATGTCAAAAATATTTTTGGTAGGAAAATTAATTATAAGAAGCTAACACGTGGATAGTGATGATGTTAGCGGTAATTACTTTAATATTAGTTATAAATAGATAGATTCTATATTGCATTCAACAAAAAAAAAAATTTAACATATCTTTCATATATTTTATATTAAGTATTTTTCTATAAAAATACAAACATATACTACGTATAAGGTAATATATTTGAATATACTACCGTTTAACTTTGTATATTTTGATTTTTTTTTTTTTTTTTTTGCTTCAATCGGCATTGAAACTTAGCTCCTTACATGTTTATTGATTTATTTATAATAATGATCAATAACGATATACTAAAGGCGAAACAAATGTCATTCTTTGCATTGGTTAATATTTTCCCGCGATTTTCTCTTTCTTTTTTTTTTTTGGGCAATTACATTGTATATATTCTATATTACATTCAACAAAAAAAAAAAAAACATATCTTTCATACATTTTATATTACGTATTTTCATATAAAAATACAAACATATACTATTGTATAAGGTAATATAATAGAATATACTACCATTCAACTTTGTACATTTTCTTTGAAAAGAGATTTTTTGTTTTTTTTTTTTTTTTTTTGCTTTTTCGTACATATTTATTTATTGATTTATTTATAATAATAATAATAATAATAATAATAATAACACGGCTATTCAATAACTATAAATATAAATTGATCATTAATTATTGCTAAAAAAAAGAAATAAAAACCAATTAAATTTGTATAAAACATTGTGCTTGTCAAAGTATGCCAACAAAATAAGGACGGATGGCGTATATAAGTACATTACACGGGTAGTAGTTAACATAAATTTTCATTATAAAATAGAAATATATAATCATTAAATTTCTTACATTTTTTTAAAAACGTTTAACAATGATAAATAACTTTTGACATCAATATACATATAATATTTAAGTTAATTTGTTTCAATTGACAATATAGTTTTTTTTTTTTTTTTTTGGAAATTATTGTTAATTTGACATTGTAATTTATAATTAGATTAAGTAAAATCATGCGTTGTACGGGAATTAAGCTAGTAATATGAAGAAAAAAAAATATTTATGAATTTATTTATTCAGAACTTATTTTTTCCTAATATAAGTCAAAATAAGATGGAACATAAACAAACCCTTAATCTTGATCTAATTATAATTATTGTCTATAAGATGTTTAACTATGCCTCCAATGGGAAAAGTATGTGGTTATAAACTTAATTAAGAAACGAAGCTTAAATAAACAAAGCATTGAAGACATTTCCCTATGACCTTTTCCCCTAAATACTTGCGTACATTTTCAACACTCCAAACATAATTAAAACAAGAAAGCTTGATTACACAAAGTAAATCATCACAAATAATTAAAGAGCCCCTAATTAATCTCTTTACTAATTAAACCATCTCCACTTTCTTAATTAGTTGAAGTTTGAAAACTTGAACCACTACTTCTCCCACTCTCACACACAAACAAAAAGCAATCAAACAAAAAGCAAAAGCCTTACCTCTTAAGTCTAACCTTAAGAGACAACTCTTCCACTTGTTACCAAAATGGACCCCACTTACATTATGGGTTTAATGATGACATAAACTAAATTTAGGCAAATCTCAAACCTTCATTTCCAATCCAAATCTCCAAAAATCATTAGATCTTTTGCCACGTTTCACTCTCATTTTTCACTATCATATCCCATTTTCTTAACCCTAGTAATCACTGGACAACTTCTAATTGAAGCTCCTATAAATTTGTACCTTTAAATGCAACTTACTTTGCTTTTTGTATATAAACATTTTAGCCAAACATTTCACACCATTATTACATTTCATCATACATTGTGTTATTTTCATTCTTTAGCCTTATTTACATGAAAGTTATAGCCTAGACATATATACACTACGCTATAATTGCTAATTTATATTTCCTTCGTTCTCTGTTAGTTGTGAGATATTGTTTCACTGTATCTATATAAGCCACCAGGCTATTGAGGCCGAATTAAGTGCTCCCTTAGTCAATTAGAATGAAGGTGAAGGTGCCGAGTTTGATGAAGAAGATAATAGCCGCATTTTCAAACAAAACAAATGATTTAAGAGTACGTTTAATGATATTCTTTCTTCTACACAAGAATTTTGATAAAACCTCACTAACCAATTCCCTTCAAGCCCTTGTTTCTCACCACCCTCACCATAAGAAGAAAAACGACGATGCCATCGACGAGAAGGAAGAGTTAGAGCTCGTCGAAAATCGACTAGACAACAAAGAACACGAAGATGATGAAGAAGAAATGAATGGTCATAGTTTGTTGTTGAACTATAACAAAGCTACAAGCATGATGGTGAGTGACACTACTCACGACATGAGGGTTGTACAAGATGTAGCGCGAATATATACACCAAATCAAATTGGTGAGCAACAACGTAACGTGGATTTGACGCACGCGCTGTTCAAGGAGTCTGAGGCGGAGATGGAGAAGGAGGAAGAGACCGAGGAGGTGGTCGAGGGTGGCGGGCAGAGAATGATTGAGGAGGAGGAGGAGGCTATGGGAGATGAGGATATAGACCAAGCAGCTGATATGTTCATACAAAGGTTTAAGAAACAAATGCTTCTACAAAAACAACGTTCATTGGAGAGGCAACAATATAATAATTGTTCCTATCTTTTGTCTAATGCTTGAAAAATTATGCACTTTTTTTAGTTATTAAGATGTTTAATCATAATTTCAGATTCATTTATGGTGTCATTTTGCTGTGTTTTTAATATCATAAATGGCACATAGCTAGTAATTATATGTAATAATTTTGTTTTGGGTTGTTGATTTTTATTTTTTATTATTTTTTTTTTCGATTAATTTCTAAGAATGAGATAAATGATCTTTTGAAATGAGATGGCTAGAAAATTACATGTCACTTTATTTTTATCAATAAAAAGCACCATATCAATTTATCACCCTAGATTAATTCAATGTATTAGTTAAGCTTCTTTGCTCATTCCATGTTTTAATTTTTGTACTAGTATATAATAGCTGAAAAGTAATACTGGTATATATACATGATGTACTAGTATTTTTTTTTCCCCCAATAATATACCCAAGCAAAGTACGGAGTAATGTTAAGATTTGGGTTTCTCAACCAAGTTTGTTATTTGCAAGTACTATTTTAGTCTAAGGTCATGTTCACTTCACCATATTTTAGCTGAATTGAAATTAATTTCACTAAACTAAAATTATTTTTGTTGAATTTAATTTATTTTTGCCGAACTGAAATTATTTTTGCCGAACTGAAATTACTTAACTGATTCTTTATTATATTTCTTCTTTAAAGTTACTGATTTTTATTAAACTGGAATTAATTTTGCTGAACTAAAATTGTTTTTACTGAACTGAATTTATTTTTACTGATCTGAAATTATTTATACTGAGTATTATTTTTGTAAGGTGAAGTAAACAAGGCCTAAAAATGTGTACAAAATAAGATTACTAGCGCAAAATTTTAAACAATCAAAGAAATCATAAATTATGGAACCAAATACTAGTACTACACTACTATGTACATGTTTAAAGAAGAAAGAAAATGGACTCCAATGATTTAAATTGCTTTTTATAAATATAGATAGAGGAAGACATTATCCTGAGGGTAGGGAGCCCCAATTTATCTTCATGATAAACAAAAATCGTTTATTCAATGATATTTTCGTAAATAAATTAACAAAAGCATGACATTTTCATAAATAAATCAATATTTGTAAAACCTATATTTAATCAAAATTGTGAACTTATTTACCGAAATGCCACCGGATAAACACTTTAATTTTTTTGTGTATCATGAAGATAAACTTATATTTTCTCCATTATCCTATACCGTACTTTCTCAAGCATCGCGTTATTAATTTACTATAATAAATCATAATCCCAAGAAAGAGAAAAGAGAAAAGAAAAAAGTAAAAAAGAAGAAAAATGGAATAAAGGAGAGAATAATGACTTTGTTTCCTTAGAGGGGTTTCCTTTATGCTCAGCACAGATTTGATTTACCGTTAGTGGATACATACAACTGCTGCTGATTTTCCTCATTCTAGAGGAACATTCTAAACACAAGCCTATTCTTCTGATTTTTTCTTATCGTAGCCTCCCTCGGATTTAAAATAATAATAATAATTATAAAAAAAAAAAAAAATTAAAAAAAAAAAAAAAAAAAAAAAAGAGGTCAGTGTTAGAGGTAGTGTTTGGGTGATATTTTTCAAGTGTTAAATACACTAGCGTTTTTAAGATATGTACTGGCAGAATTTGTAAATTATATGAGCTTGTTAAAATTATACTCTGTAGTACTCCATATATCTACACTGTAATATAATACTCTAAAAATTATTTTTAACAAATATTTATACTATCAACAAGTATTTAGACAATTAATGAATCTTTACCCGTTACTAGTTGACACCTACTCCCTTAGTTAGACACTTTGAAAGTGAGAGGGGATTCCACTCAGGGATTTGTTAAACATCGCCCACAAATTACTACATAAATCCCGCAAAATATACTTGGTTTGACACTTTTGCTCATTTGTGAATTCTTACCCAAAACGAAAAATTATGACATCGAAAAATCAAATTAAAAAACACTTGGTTTGACAGTTTTGGCCATTTGTGAAATCTTACCAAAAACGAAAAATTCTGACATCGAAAAATTGAATTGAAAAAGACACTTGGTTTGACACTTTTGCCCATTTGTGAAATCTTACCAAAAAACAAAAAATTCTGACATGGAAAAATGTGGAGCCATACTAGGTCCGCGCGGGAGACCGGAGAGCCGAGGGACGCCGAAGAGCCGTCGTCGTCGCAGCAAAACGAGGTAAAACATCGTCGGAGGCGTGAGCATGGACCACCACTGTCATGGTCGGGGCGCATGGCCAGGACGCCGGTGCCATGGCGGTGGCGCCTGGCTAGGACGCCGGAACCGTGGTGGTGGCTTCCAGGTTAGGCGCCACTCCCACGGTTCTGGCGTCCTGGCCAGGCACCACTCCCACCGTGGCGGCGTCCTGCCAGGCGCCACTGCCACCGTGGTGGCGTCCTGCCAGGCGCCACTGCCACCGTGGCGGCGTCCTGCCAGGCGCCACTGCCATGGTGGTGGTGGTCCAGCCAGGCGCCAATGCCCTTTATTTTATTTTTTTAATTTTTTTGTTTTTTTTTTGTTTATAAATTTGATAAATTGAAATTCTTAAAAAAAAAAGAAATTTTTTTATTTGTAATTATGTTTTAAATATTTGTTAATAAATTTATTTTATAATTTTGTATGTGGAAATTAGATTTTTAATTTTTTTGTTTTTTTTAATAAATTTGAGAAATTTAAATTGTAAAAAAAAATGTATAACTTGAAATAATGTTTTACATATTTTCTAATAAATTTATTTTATAATTTTGTATGTGGAAATTAGATTGGTGTTAATAATTTACAAAAAAATTGATTATGTTTTAATTTTATTTGTGTATGAATACTTTAACACATAATTATGTTTTAATTTTGTATGTGTATGAATACTTTTATAAATGATTATGCTTTAATTTTGTATGTGTATGAATACTGTTATACATAATTATGTTTTTAATTTTGTGTTAATTTACGCTTTACATAATTATATGTATTTAAATATAATATCTAATTGATGCAGGATTATGGTGGAGACGAAAATGATTACAGTGGGATATCTGTACATGATGGTCCCTTCGAAGATGCTCAACAAGCGATTGATTGGGCTAAACAGGTTGCAATTACTTCTGGTTTTTGCTTGGTAGTAACAAGTCATAAATCTCAACGGGATGGTAGAATAGATCGCATTTTGAGATGCAACCGTTATCGCAAAAGAGAAGAAAGAGATTTCAGTACAACCACTCGGTTTGATACAAAGCGGAAAGGTTGTGGGTGTGAGTTCAGAGTAAAGGTTCGGCAACTAGAGAGTCGTGAAGGTTGGGAAGTGAAGGGTTACTCCAAATAGGGGTATCACAACCATGAGATGATAGTATATGAAGTGGGTCATCGACAGTTGAGCGGCTTAAGTCCTGCTGCAAAACTGGTTGTCAAAGAAATGAGTGATGCTCAAGTGAAGCCTGCTAAAATATTAGCATCTGTGCTAGAGAAATTTCCTGAAGACCAGCCAAACCGAAGACACATCTACAACGTCAGACAGCAACTGAGGTTTGAACGGTTAGAGGGAAGGAACCCTGTACAGCAGCTTCTACACCAGGCACAAGCACGTGGTTACCTGTTCTGGTATGATTCTGATGAAGATACAGCGGAGGTGACTCATCTATTCCTTGTGCATCCTGATTGTGCTGATATGATCAAGTCCTGGCCATCTGTTATTTTGATCGATTCAACGTACAAGACAAACAAGTACAGGTTCCCACTGGTTGAGATGATTGGGATGACTCCAACGAACCAGAACTTTCTGATTGGCCATGCAGTCATCAAGGATGAGACGACTGCGAGTTATCATTGGGTCTTGGAGAAGCTGAGAAACTACATCGGCCCTAATGTTCAGCCATCAACCATCGTCAGTGATTGTGAGGGAGGTCTCTTTGCCCCCATAGCAGAGTTGTTTCCATAATCGAAGCACTTATTATGCACATGGCACATCAAAAACTGTGTGAAAGTGAAAGCCTACAACCTCTTCAACAAGAATTTGGAAAGTGCAGAGAGATTGGTAAATGGTAAGTGGCGGAAGATCCTGCAAGCTACCACGGAGGCAGAATACGATCGAGCCTTGGCTAACTTCAGGGATTCGTACCAATGGTGTCCGGCACTGATAAACTATGTGATGCAGCAGTGGGTACCTCACAGGGAAAAGTTTGTTAAATTTTGGAAACACTACAACATGCAGAGTTGAGAGTGCTCATAGAGCTACGAAGGACTGGACTGATTCTTCCACCGCTGCTTTGGATACACTGTTCGAGAGAATAAACAAGGCAATTGAAACTCAGAAGAACGGCATCAGGAACTCTCTGGAGGACTCTAGGCTGCGACATGGTACGATGTATAGCCATTTCATATTTAAGATTCTATATGGGCGTGTGTCACACTACTGCTTGGGGTTGATTCTGGCCGAGCACAACAGGATGAGGGAGTTGGCGGATGAAGTTGATGTTCGGTGTGGATGTGCTATATCAGTAACTCATGGATTACCTTGCGCATGCACCATTCACCGCGTAATTACCCAAGATAGGACGTCGTTACACGTTGATCAGGTTCATCCATTCTGGCGGACGCTCGTTATTGGTGAGCATGCAGATACGCAGACGGTCGACCGCGAACAGGAGGAGTTGGAGCAGTTTCATTCGATGTACGACCGAGTATCCTCCAGTCATCCTTCCATTATTCATGATGCTACTCACGTACTGCATGACATGTTCAACACGTCCTGCTTAGATCACGAGGAACCTGAAGGGGTCAAGCGACCTAGAGGTCGTCAACGGCGGAACAGGAGTGCGTTTGAGTACATTCGTGGTCGTACATCGTCATCCAGTCGTAGCTAGTCTTCTTCGTCTGTGAATATGCCCGGCACTGGTACAATAGCTTACTTTAATTTACGTTTTATAATGGTTTTGAGTTTACTGCTGACTTGTTCACTATGTTTAATGATATGTTCAACAGGAAGATTTGATATTGACCAGTTTCCATACAAGGATAGGATACCTAACATCATCATGTCATACTTGGAAGGCTGGAATGATGTAGTTGGAGATGGTAATTGCGGATTTCGGGTCGTGGCTGATGTGTTTCAGATGGGCTGTATCATGACCGGATCCATCAATGGAACACCGCATCTACGGCAGTTGGCGGTGGGATATCATGATCATCGGCGTCGTCGCCATGGTCAATGTCTCTAATCAACCTCGGGTGCGAATACCGGTTGTACCATTCCATGTAGTGCTGGTCACACATGGGAGGCACCCTAGTAGGCGGCCTCTGCAGCTCCCCAGTCCATAAGCGGGCAACCATCGGGAACTGCTCCCACGTGGCAATCATGCTATCCGGCCATTGGACGACGTACTCCTTCGACGACACAGATCGGACGACCTTACTCGGCCATGCCGGTGGAGGAGGGACAACTTGGACGAACCCAAGCTGGCGAAGACAACGCTGGGCATGTACGCCTCCATGATCTCAAGAACTGTATAAGTCCCGTGTAGAGGGTCCTGGGTACCCTATTACTAGGGTTCTGGCCGAAAGGCATCCATTTCACCTGCAAAAAAGGTTTCAAATTAGTAAGATTCATATAATAAATGCATTACAGTACAAATTTTGAAATAATTTATACACTTTACCTCTAAGGGGGACATCTTGTCAAGCGATAACCGTATCGATCGGAGGCGGTCAACAGACTTCTTCTCCAACCGCGGACTCCACGCACAGGCACGGGGCATCCCATCACCAATAGGAACCGGGTCACGGTGTGGTCGAAATGCAGGAAAATACTCGTATATCCAGGTCTGCAATAAAGTCGGACATCCAGTGATACCTGCCGCGTCAGCCCGACTCGAAAATCCTAATTGGCGATACAGATACGCCAACGTAGCCGACCCCCAAGAAAACTAACCAACACTGTCCGGCTCACACGCATCAACTATGTCGCGTGGCCTGAGCTTGTTTCCGCTCTTATCCGGAAACAAGGTACACCCGAGGAGAAGAAAAACATAAGCAGCCAGCTGTGCATCGTGCGTCCTACGTGCACCGGGGTGCAAACAACGCTGCAAGACGGATGCGATCTTCACACCGTCGTGGTCCCAAACACCAAGCGCCCCGGTGTACAGCGCAACCTTGTCCACCGCCAACAGCTCCGCCAGCAAATCTGCCTGATTTGCATCAGTCACAACAGAAAGGCGTTTACCCTCTGCGCGAATCCCAAGAATGGCCTCGACGTCATGCAACATGATCGTCATCTCACCGAATGGAAGGTGGAAAGAGTTCATATCCGGCTGCCATCGCTCAACGAAAGCCGTGATCAGCGTCCAATCAATCTTATCGTGCATGGTGGTAGGAAGGTGATTCACCCCAGTGCCCTGCAGTCGGTCAAACATCTCGCTCCCCACCGGCCAAGCCTCAGCCCATCTGCTCAAAACACTACAAGTCTTTTCCCGGGTTTGGCATTTCAAAATGCCCGTCACCAAACCCCTCTCCTGGTCCTCCCAGATACGGGTAGCTATGTGGACGCAGATGATGTGCCAAATCTACTGACAAACCTACCATCCCTACCCTTACGCACATCTACCCTATGTGTCTCGTACATGTCATCTAGCCTCTGACTGAATGGACCGTAATCATCATATGGTCCACTCCCATCGTCCACATCCTCATATGCGTCCTCCTCCTCCTCCTCCTCCTCCTCCTCCTCCTCCTCATCATCATCATCATCATCTTCATCCTCATCCCGATGGTGAACCCGTTCTCTATGAGTCGAGGCCGAAATACCACGGGATCTAAGATGTCTGGGCCTCGAGCTCTCCATCGAGTAGTTTTCAGACCTAATAAGGTCTAGATTCTTCCCCGCACCATGACGAAAATGCGACACTTTCAAAAAATTAAAAAATATATACACATTAAAAAAAATTATAAGAAAAATAACTACCAAAAACCAAATCTAGCTAACTACCAAAAATGTATACACATTAAAAAAATTATAAGAAAAATAACTAGCAAACTAACTTGAAAAAGAAATTAACAAAACACTTAAAATAAATGACAGAATAAAATATACACAAACAAAGAAAAAAAAAACCAACACATACAAAATTTATAGGGATATTCTATTTGGTGGCCTCGTGGTTTTAAAAATTCTACGTGGAAGACGAACTTTTTTCCAACTCTCTTCAGTGACACCAAGGTTTAGAAAAATATACATAGTGACCTTTTTTAGGTTTATGGCTAACCTTTTTAGCTAAAATGGTTAACCTTTTGATTTTTTTTTAAATAAAATAAATAAATTAAAAAAAAAAATTTAAAACCCTAACCCCTACCCTAGCAGGTGGCAACCCACCTCTGGCAGGCGGCAGCCCCTGCCTCCTCCGGCCACCTTCCCTTCCCCCTCCCCTGTCCATTTCCGACCACCACCCCTGCTGCCTCCAGCCATCTTCCCTTCTCCCTTCCCCCTCTTGCTGCTTCCACCACCACCGTTCTCCCTTCCCCCTCCTGCGCCTGCTCCGTTTTTTAATTGAAATCGAGCCGGATTTATGCTTTGTTGCTTTGGTTTGTGGTTGCTGCCGCTTATAAGAGGTGTGGCTGCTGGTTTGTGGTGGCGCGGTGGTGGGGGGAGGGGCGACGAGTTTTCTCGAGGTTGGAGGAGGGCCAGTTGGGGTTTTCGAGGTGAGGGAAGAGTTTTTAATGGAGTTTCGGTGAGAGAGGGAGGGGGTTTCGGGGATGGGGTGGTGGTTTAGGGGGATTGGCGACGGCTGGGAAGGCCTGCACACCGGCGAGGGTGGGTCTGGGCGCCGGCGGGTGTGGGGTTGGTGGTGGCAGGGAGGAAGGGTGGTAATTGATGGTGGCTGGCTTTTTTTTTTTTTTTTTTAATTTATTTATTTTTTTTTTAAAATTAATTTATTTTTTAAAAAAATCAAAAGGTTAACCATTTTAGCTAAAAAGGTTAGCCATAAACCTAAAAAAGGTCACTATGTATATTTTTCTAAACCTTGGTGCCACTGAAGAGAGTTGGAAAAAAGTTCGTCTTCCACGTAGAATTTTTAAAACCACGAGGCCACCAAATAGAATATCCCAAATTTATATAAAAATTACTTAAAAAAAAACAAAAAACAAAAAAAAATTCCAATTTTCAAAAAAAAAATTCTGATTTTCAAAAAAAAAATGATTTAAAAAAAATAGAAAAAAAAGAAAAAAACAAAAAAAAGGGGCGCATGGCTGGGACGCCAGCCCATGGGTGGCGGCGCCTAGCTAGGACGCCATTCCAGTGGTGGCGGCGCCTGGCTAGGACGCCACACCGGTGGTGGCGACGCCAGATCCAGACGCCATGGCCGTGGTTCTGGCGTCTGATTCTAGCGCCACCACCACCGCCGTGGCGTCTTCCCCAGGCGCCACGCCTTGCCTCAGCCGGCTTTTTTTTTTTTTTTTAAACGGAAAAAAAACCTACCTTTCCACCGTGAGACTACTTCCCTCCGGCGCCGCCGCCGCTAATTCCTTGCCTTGCCGCCTCGACATTGCCGGACTTTGAATTATTTTTTTTTTTAAAAAAAACGTAGAATGAAAGTGGCACATTTTTTTTTTGGGTGATGAGAGTGTTTCTTTTTTTTTTTTGGGTCAATGGCAATATTGTCAATTCAATGGAAATTTGTGGGCTTTAGTTGGTAATTTGTAGGCGATGTTTAGCAATCTACTTCCACTATACCAAGCTTAGGTCAGTCAGTGCATTGTCATTAAGTGGCTGATTGTGTGCTGCTAGTTTGCTCTTCAATAAATGAACACTTTGTGTGCTGCTAGTTGTGTAGATGTGTGCGATTATTGCATGGCATAACCGTGTAGCTGCCTAGGCAATTTGTGTTGGGCGTAATCTGTATGGTTGCCTAGGCAATGTCTGTTTGCCGTAACCATTATGGCTGCCTTTGCCTGGATGATTTGTGTAGGGTGTCCGCCTGTCCGGCATGGTGTGTGCTGCCTGGGCACTTGAAATCACTTATGGATAGGAAGTACAATATGTCAATTACTCCGTAACTAATACAGTTGCAGTTGCCTAATTAACAAAGTTATTAATCAGTGACTGCATTTTTTAATATAGATACTTCGTCCTTAGAATTGATTTTGATCAATTTAGTAATGTTATTTTCCTAATCTAAAGTCAAACGATCTCACACAATAGCATAATAAATTCCAACCTCCGTTGCAGAAGTAATTTACCAGCAACTAAACCGTTACATACTGCTAGCCATTTATTGAATTTCTTCAATTAATCAAGTGACAAGCAGTACGCCCTACATTGATAGTATTTAGTTTACAAAATATGGTATAAATTAAACAAGACTGTTGAGAAAATTGTCGATGCAGCCTCCGAATGGAGACAAAACGCACTCAAGGAGAGCTGTGACACTTTATTCAAGCATCGAGAGAGATGGGAAGGGGGAGGAGGAGGATATTATCCACTAATTTGTCCGAAAAATTATAGGAAGAGAAATTTAAAATAAAAGTAAAATATAACAAAATTTTGCAACTCAGAAAATTCGGAAAAAAAAATGTTTAATTTAAGACTTCATTTCCCTCCTCTATATCTCATACTCTGGAAGTTGTAATCCCGCCCTATAGCTAATCCATGGGTAACAGACTGCCAGTCATTATTGCTCAACGCTTACCAGCAGCTTTCCTCAAAGGTGGAGCAGAATCCTCGTCATCAGACTGTACGTCTCCATATTGCCACATTCCACTTCGACTCTTTTTTGCCTCTTCTTGGAATTCTTCGAGGTTATCAATAGCAGACTTCCTCTCCACCGAATCCCACCTTTTAAGTTTTTCTAATCTAGCAAGTCCAACCTGCAATATTTCACAACCCAATAATCAATCTATAAGAGCTGAGCTGGGACAGACAAACAGCCAGAAAACATGATTATGTACAAACAAAAGATTTGGAAGTGTCATATTAATCACTATAATAACAGAACATTGCATAAGGTCAATCTGGAAAAGTCATAATCAGTTTTGGATCAAATCAGGTAATCTTAGCTTCAGTAAAATTAAGGTATGGTTCAAGTTATTCAAATCAAGTCATCATATATGGACCAATTTTGCCCCAAGTCTAAATTAACTAATGACAATATGACATACTGAAGGACCGACTTTGAGTTTACTTTTCTAGTTTTGTTTTCAGCTACAACATCAATAACAAAGCCTTAGTCCCAAAATGATTTGGGGTCGCCTAATATGAATTGTCATAAGGAATCATCCGATATGAACAAGGGACATAACAAGATAATCAATTGAAAGAGTTAGAAAAAAGGTGTCTAAAGTGAGAAAAAGAAAAGAACATCCAGGTAAAAATAAAAGGATTTTAGAAGAGAAACAAGAATCATCTCATACCTTCAACATGGCAGCATTGATGCTTGAACTGGCTTCTACATCGACCAAGGTCACTAGAAGAACTGTGCCACTACCTTGGCCTTTCGATTTTCCACCAGAAGTATCTTTTTCCTCAACCATGGCCCTGAATTCCCGGGAACTGTTAAGAGTTAGCTCACTCAAATACTCAGCTGCTTCTTGGCCATAATCCTCCTCTAAGCTAGGAACCTTTACAAATGCAAGAGTGCAGAGTTGAGCTGATCCAGGTACAGAAAGGACAGAAGGAGGTAAAGGTCGTAGACGACTGTAGGGGAGTACTTCTTGATTACCATAATCGATATAGAATACTTCAAACTCATCTTTTGGGGATTGAACATCACCACGGGGCACATTCACAATCTATTGTAATAGCAAAAAGAAGCCCAGTCATCAATTAATTAAAGCATTAAATTCAAATAAACAATGCCACCACATGTCACATTCAGAAACACAGAAACCCAAATAACAAATATTCACATCTCTTACCATAGCTCGATTCCATGAATTGTCTGCACTAAATTGAGCAAGAACCACATCACCCTTCTTGGGGTTAAAGCTTCCGATTACTGGAGCCTCCTTGATGTCTAGGGAAGCAAGTTGCTGCTGAATAGAAGCAACCATCTGGTCCTCAACTTTTTGAACATAGAACTTTCCTCCGCCAAGGACTTCGGTAACAACAACCTGTTTACATGTAAATGTTAGATCACATATGGTAAAATTACAGCCAATAAAACTCATATTACAACCCAGCCTACCTTCATAACTTCTTTCTGTCGATTTTCAGGGGCTGATGATCCATTCACAACTTCTTGACCTTCAACATAATTTTCCCATATCTGCAATGAGCCAATAGTTGATTAAATAGGACGATACATATGATTTAGCGGAAGAGTTTATCATATATGCATTACTAACCTTCAACTTCTGGCGTTTAGCAGACTCTTCAGCTTGAGCAAGAAGATGGGCATCTGCTATCCGATCTGTGCCAAACGATTTCTGAAATTTTGCTAGCCCAGCTTCTAGTAACACTGCAGCCATATTGATCTTAGATTCCCAAAGGGATCCCAAGAAGGTTCCGGTTCTATCCACAGTTTCCACTTCAATCTGAAAATTAGAAAAATAATGGATAAACATAAAAAAGCACAAGGAACAAGTCTTTAATTTTTTTGATTAGATTTAGAAGAGTAGGGTTATTTTCCTGCAATCTCAAAAAGGACGTATATTACCTCAACATCTCTCTGCATTATTCTTCTTCTCATGAATGCAATTGCATCATCTGAATAAGGTTCACCTCGTCCAGGACACCTCACACCTGAAAAAGAAAATGCTATACTGCAAGTTGCCTTAGGAAGCAGGAGCTTGAACCGATGACCGCTGAGTACATATTCAACAACAGCAGAGTGCCTCTTAACTCGCTTCAAAAATGGTAAGAAGTCCTTGGCTTTCTTCCCTGAAGCCTGAAATATTAAGATACTAGAATTGAAAACTCTTTGTAAAATGTATAGAACAAATAACAGAAGGGAAAAAGGGATAAACGACAGGATTGCAAAGACATGAGACCCATTACTAACAGTGGTGAGGTCTTGAATGTGGTTTGTGGGAGATTCTTCACCATGGACCCCTTTCCTGTTAGCTTTTGCTTTCACTTCAGCTACCAAAAGGGCATCATAATAATTTGATCTTTCTTCAAAGTCTCTGTGTGGTACGACAGTAGCAAGCCCACGGCCAACCAACAATTCAGCAACGTTGTATCCATTTTCCTGACCAACAACCGTAGATGAAGCAGATGTTGCATCACCTCCTTTACCCTTTGATTGAGCAGGCAGGAACACTGATCCAAAGTCCATTACCCTAAACTCAGATGAGGGAGCTGCATTTTCAGCACCACCCCCAACAGGGACCTTCCTTGAGTACTCCATGGAAACATTCACCTAAGTTCACATTAAACCTCATTATTAGACTTGACTTTTAAGGATCACACTACCTCCCCACAATAACTTAAAACCCAGGAATACCTGACGGCCAATGAGCTTTTGGCGGAGGAACTCCTTTGATTCACGAGCATGTGATTCAGGTCCTTTGTTGTTCCAACGTGGATTACCCAGTTTCGGAGCTTTTATGCTAGAGATATTTACTCTTCTCTCAGCCAATGGACTACCAACCGGCACAGCATCATCAGCAACGATAATACAGTCTCCACTAACAATTTCGACCACCTGATGTCAAAGAAGGTTAGGCAATTGCATAAAAGTAAAATGCAAAGATAATACAATGATAATATTACATCCAAGGATTATTGCTTATGGAGTTATGGTCATGAATTATTACATCCTATTACCTTTCCAGTAAAGTTCTGGTCATGAATTGCTTTTGAATTTGTAGCAGGAGGTACATAGTTCGTCCACATCTTGATTCGCTTCTTTTTAGCCTCGAGTTCTGCTGTTTTCAATTCCTTCTGGTCCTTGGCTTCCAAAGATTTAGCACTCCAATCAAGATATTTGGCTAAGCCCTGCATTTTTTCAAACACGGGCAATTTGAAATGTTCAGTTAGAATTGGAAGTACATATGTGCTGAAATTAGATTATGCTAAAGCAAATACATTAATCAATAAGCTCAAGTCAAGTTGCATCAATACTTGGGAGTTGGGACTTGAGAGTCACGCAATAAGATCTGGGTAAATAGATAGGACCAAATAATCATCATCCACAGAAACTAACAGTTAGTGATTTAGTTGTGCAGTTGCAAAAGAATCATAGGAAATTATGATGAGCAAAGATGGTTGGTCGAGTCCCATGTCAAGCTGTCAACCATACATCCAGTAGTAAGTGAACCAAAGAATTTCTGTTTTACAATAGTAAGATTAACTCACAACGAAAACAAGAGCATCTAAACCGTCATTGAAATAACCGCAAATATGGAATATATCTAGACATTTCAGTAAGCGACGCAATGTAAAGGATGTATTGAAATTACTTGTGTTCTGCCTACATATTGAAACATTTATAAGAACATATCAACCACCAGGAGTTCTGGTACACACTTCAAGAAGCCAGTGCATGAACAATACCATTAGTCACAATCAACATAGAATTCTCAGGATGTAGCATCGTGAACGAACAAAACAATGAAAAGATAGCAAACAATAAAACCAACAAGGTTACCATGAAAACTCATTTCATAAACTACCTGCCCAAAAAAAGGTGTATAGCAAAATGGTGGCCTTGGCTTTTGGTCAGAGTATAAAGTGAAAGATATTCATGAAAATGTATTAGTGCATATCACATCATACCTTCCAAAACCAAAAGCTAGTGCAAAGATCTATCTACTCTCTACTTGTAATATATTCCGCATGTACAGTGTGTCGAAAATGCAAATGCAACAGAAATTAGAAACCCAATATTCATCAGGCAAAAGATGAACCTTATGCAGCTGCAAATAGCAGCAGTATGCTTTTATTGCCAAATATACTTACATTTTTCACTAACTCCAAGGCCAGGTTCTTTACTTCACCACCATCATCATAATAAACAGAACCAACCAAATTTTTGAGTCTGTCTGGTTGCTCAAGGACAATACGTACCTGCAAATGGAGATAAAGTATAAATTCAAATCCAGACACAAAATACATCAAACACTATGATAACACAAGGGCAACTAGCTTACATCTCTGTGCAAAGTACGCGTCTCTGTGAAGTGTTTTGCTTCCCTCCCAAAGGGGTCTGCGGGTGTCTCCACACCTGGAGCAGCAGAGGCAGCAACCTTCTGAGCTGCCGTCAGGGGAGCACGAGGTTCAGTTGCAGCTTCTCCATTGGGTCCATCTGTACTCACTTCAGCTTCAACAATTCTCTCTGGAAAGGGTCTCCTTCCCATTGATGGACACTATAACCATACAGATCAAATAGTATAAGAGCCAAAATTTCAAAGCCTCCAAATTTAGCACCACAAATATATTAGTAGCAAAGCTTAAGTACCTGAATGCCAGCCACAAAAACCTGAACATACTGAAACTCTGGAAGCAGGTAGACTCGCAATGTGCTACCATCACGAACCTGCTCCACAACTGCTTGCAAAGATCTCCCTTTGTTTTCAGATGTAAAAGCCACTACATCAAAATTAGTGGATGCATCCATGGCAGATGGAGGCAAATTTCTGATAGAAGCCTCTGAAGCTCCTGGCACCTGGAGAGCAAGAACAAAGTTTATCACATATCATACTTATAGTCTAAAAATAAAAGCTTAAACGGAGAAAAAACCAGAAACAATTGCACATAAACACTAAAGCTGCCAGATTGAGAGTTCTTCAAGGTCGTGCTAGTTCAGTCATGTTGGGTCGTATTTGACTGCTCTAATTATAAAAAATAAAAAAACTTTGGGAGGAAATACATCATTTGCTACATCACAGCTCTGGATTATTATGGAATTCAGCACACGACAATTAAATTGGCGAAAAAGCATCAAATTGCAAAATTTGAGACCTACCTCGCTCCACTTGCCTAAACCTTGCTGTTTTGCTTTTTCCTCAAGTGCCAACAGTTCGGTAAAATCAGAGTTTGCTTCATTCTTTGATGGTGTTTTTACCTGAGTAACCAAAAAAAACAAAAAAGGGATTTTTTTGCAGACGATGAGTATCAAAGACGTAATTAATACCATCAAATTACAGCACTTAATATTAAATCAAAGAACACCAATAGATTATGCAGAAAATCATTAACATCATGACTTAGCACACCTTTGCCCAGCCTTGTTGAACCACCAACTTCGCAACGTCACTGCCATCAGCAAGCATTACAGATGCAAACTCTCTCCCCGGAATCTGTTTCGCTGAAGTATTTGATTCAGTTTTGAAAACTACCTCCTGTAATTATATATAGAAAACTTTCCATATCAGAAGATTAAAAAACCATAATTCACATAAAATTATTAAACATATTAAAAATAAAAAAATAAAAAAATAAGCAGATTCAGGGGGGAAAAAAAAAACACACCTTTCCAATGCAGAGTTTCCTCAAATACTCTCTACTCTCCCAAGCAAATGGCTCATCCTCTCCGTCTCTACGAGCCTGTAATATAACACATAAAATAACCACCACATTTAAGAATTAAGAACAAACTGGTAATCATCAAGACTCGAAAATTGACAACACAATAATTCTAATGACATACAATAACAAATATGCCAATTTGGTGACAAGAAATACAATGCATACTTCCATTGAATTTAAAACTACATTTACGAAATAATAACAAAAAATACATTAATTAGCAAGTAAAATACACACCAGCCTAGGAGCTATGATTTGCTTTAGAATCACAGCCTTTTCCGGAGGAATTTCGTCTTTCTTGGCAATACCCATAATCACCAAGGTGTCCCCTGATGGAACAGCCTTCACCATCCCTCTCAACCATCTATCCTGTCCTGCTGCCATCGCCGAGTTTCTTGGATCTAAATAATAAAAAAAATTACCAATCAAATATTAGCCAAAATTCAACGATATCATTGAATCGATCAATTAAACACTAAAGCATTTAAAAATATACTTTGGCATTCAATTAAGCAGATCGAACATTCAAATTCATCATGCATAATATTAAAAATATAATCGAACATTCAAATTTATCATGCATGATAAAAAATCAAGATCGAACAATAGAATTCATCCTTGCGTGATTGAAATTAATCGAAATTAATCACATTTAACTAATTTTCAGCTGATTAATTTGCTACTAATCAAACACTCTCAACTATACACACAGATCCATCAAAACAACACTCAATTCAATTCAATCCAATCCAAAGTTAACCTCAAAATAATAACTCGAATACAAAAGAAAACAAAATTAAAAATTTCAAAAATCAAAGAAAGAAACAGAATGTTAATCCATTACTAATTGAATCAAATTAAACAACAAAAACATAAAATAAAAATTCAAATTTGAGTTTTCAGATCGTACTGAAAACAAAATCAAAATCAAAATTGAATAACAAAAACAAAAACAAACCTCAAAATCGATCGAAGAAACCAAATCCTGGAAAAACAGAATACAAAAATTCCGATCTAAATTAAGATCGGATAAATTAAACTCCGTACCAAAAAAAAGAAGAGAGGGAAAGAGTGAGATCTACCAGTTACTGAATGAAGAAGAAGAACGAGGACCTCGACGGCTACGCCTTTGAAAGTATATATAAATCCAAAAATTAAAATAAAAATAAAAATTGAAGGAAAATAAAAACAGAGGAGAAGGGGTTTAGGAAGAGGAGAGAGAAAGAGTGAGACAGAAAAACGTGGGGTTTCTCTTTGCTTTCACTTCTTCTCCACAAAGGTTGGTTTTTAAAACTAGTCTTAAATTCTTAATAATCCTAATTTATATCAATTTTGTATTCCTAATCCTAATTGATTTTTATTTTATTTTTTGAGGTAATAATCCTAAGTGATATCTATTGATTTTTTTATATTTATTATATGTTTGACTTTTGTCATGTTTGTGATTTTAATTATTTGGGGGAATTTGAGGTGTGTAATTGTGTATTAATGGATTGATAATAATGCTAATGGATAATAGTCATATTAATACTAGTACTAATATCTTTCCTTATTAGGTATTAATTAAGGAATGTATACAAAATCATGCGTAAATTAGTGTAATTAATATTATAATTTTATTTTATTTTATTTTTCATTTTTAGTTCCTTATATGTAGCCCTACGGGTTATGTATAACATTTTCCATAATAATAATTACTCAGTATAATTCTGTTAATTAAAACGTGTTTGGATTTCTAGATAGGATAGTTGTGTTCGGTAAACTGTGATTCTGGATTTTGAGTAGGTATCGAAAATGTTAAAAATAAAAGTCAATATATATCAAATTATCTTACAGATAATTGTGTTTGGATTTTTGGATAAGATAGTTGTTTCGATTAATAGTGGTTCTAGAATTGAATAGGTATCAAAAACATTAAAAGTACGAGTGGATCTCACTATTACATAACTTAATTCCTGATTTTGAGTGGGTAATGATTGTAAAAGCAGAAAAAAGTTTTAGTGGATAAGATCACAGAAAAAAGTAAAGTCGATAACAGTTGAAGAATAATAAAAAGACTTGAATGAATGACCGCTATAAAAACAAAAATGCTCGAAACAAAGTTAGCTACTCTACACCTCATTACTTCACCTAATATTGAACTATAATTTTATGTAATAGTGAAACTAATTATACTAGTTGAAAAATATTTATATTGATTGAAATTGAATTTTACAAGTTTACAAAATACTGTATTCACTTAAATTTTTCATAACTTAATTTATTAGACATGATTTTGGAACTTGTCTTTTTTCAAGGTCAACACAACTCACCTTTATCACAAATTATTGTTACATACTTGTATACTATTTGTATAATTTTAGTCTATGTGGTTCAACATATATTATATATACTTATCTAAATTTACTTTATTTGAACTTATTTGTCTTAAATATAGGGGTATCCATTATTTCGATTAATAAAATCGAAATCTAATCTAATTCAAATCAATATTAATTCAGACTGGATCCGAATTATAAATCAAATTGTAATTTTTTGGGATCGAAATAACTGAAATATGAATAGTTGTATTTAAGTGACTTGGTAATTTGGTTTATTATTACACTATGTTTTCGAGATTTGTATTTTTATTATGGGCTTGAAAAACTGGAATTATTGTAGGACGGAGAGAGTACATCATTATCTTTTATTCTTGATAAAATTATCCTGGATCAAACCCAATAAACACAACAACATAGCAATATAGCTTCATTCCTAATTAGTCGAAACTCGAAAATTTGAGTCTAAATTAAATTTACGGTACACTCACAAAAGTTACTTCAATATTTCTAAAATTAAAAACTGAATATCTTTTAAAAAACTTTTCATTGAAAGTTACTACATCAGTTAGATTCTTGCCTAAATTAAGTAACTTTTGATTCTGTGCTATAAAGAAAATATGTTTTGCCAAATTTGTTACTTCCTCTTTTTCAGATTTGCTGGGAGATTGTCAATACAAGACCATGAATTTGTTTTTCTTAAAAAAAATAAAATTAGGCACATTTAAAAGCTTACTACGTATTGTAGTAGTTATTACGTTTTTTAATTAATTGGTTACTTATTGAAAAGCTTATTTATACGTCATATATTAGTTGAGTGAGCTGTAACTTTTTTGATTGGGAATATGGGACCACCCTACAATTGTCAATTGAATTAATTTTCATTTTATCTAATGGTAAATTTGGTATACTGAGTAATAGCCATGGCAGTACTAGAGTAGTTAAGTCTTGAAAGTAGTTATGTTTCATCAGCGTATCCAAGTGAGTTTTCTTTTCCCTTTGCCATTAATGATTATTAAATATTCAATTCTCTATTCAAACAATTTAGGTATGAAAACAAAATTTTTGATGTTAGTGATAGAGTATAAAACATATTTTTGGGCCTCAACTATCAGGTTAAGCTTTTGGTTGAATTGGTCTTTTAACATGGTATCGGAGCCATTGTGACACAAAGGTTACGGGTTCAAATTTCATCCACCCTCTCCTTCAAAGTGGAATTAATTCGCACCAGGTATGGGAGGGTCTGTGCTGCATCCACATTTCAAGCCCAAATGGTCTTTCATGTGAGGGGGAGTGATAGAGTATAAAACATATTCCTGGGCCTCAACCATCAGCTTAAACTTTTGGTTGAGTTGGTCCTTTAACATGGTATCAGAGTCAACGTGACACAAAGGTCACGGGTTCAAATCTATCTACATTTTAAGCCCAAAGGCTCTCATGTGAGGGGGCGTGATATAATATAAAACATATTTCTGGAACTCAACCATCATTTTAAGCTTTTGGTTGAATTGATACACGTATGGATTGACTTTTCCTATTGATACACTCTTAACTTTTTGCCTTTTAACTAGTACACTTGTCGTTTAGTCTTTTTCCCAACCGTGACAAACATCGTTAATAAGTAATAACTATCAAATAAAGTTAACTAATAAAGGAAAAGACGACAATACCCCTTTTAAACATCTAATGTCTCGATTTGCATGTAGAAAATGGTTCGATTAAGGTTTTTGGGGTCATTTTAGTCCTTAAGGATCCAATTGACCTCGAAATTAGCAAAAAAAAAAAACGCAATTGTCTCGTATGCATGTCAAAAAACTTTGTGTCAGTATTTTGTTTTTTTGCGTGCTAATAATTGTTCAATTAAGGTTTTAGGGATCATTTTGACCCTTTATGGACCTAAATTGAGATCGAAATTGGCAAAAAAATTACAAAAATTCCTCGCTTTACTGTCATAAAATGTTTCGTTTTGCGTGCTAGTAAAGAAAATTGATCGAGACATTTCTTAACATGCATACGAGACGTTTAACTATTATATTTTATTGCAAAATCTACTCGTAGTTTTAATGAAAGAAATCTTTATTTGATACAATATGTTATGTATTTATTTAAACCAAAGTTCTTTTGTTCATGTTGTTTGACATATTACTAATGAATTAACTAAATTATATAGGGTAATGATATATGTAGCCCTTAGGGCTATATATAAGCATTAAATATACTTTCTAAAATGGAATTAAGGTGAGAATTCATGACAAAATTACGCGCAAATTGGTGTAATTAATGTTATTTTATCTTCAATATTTCATCTTTTACCTTCTTATACATAGCCCTTGTTTATCATTTTCCAACTATATAAAAAGCACAAACTTTTTAAAAATGAATGAGTGTAAGTGAACATTAACTAAAAAGTTGTCCTAAATTATTTAAAGTTACCCATAAAATGAATAAAAGTTACCCAACATGTATAAAAGTTACCCAATACAAATAAAAGTTATCTATGACTGAAAATCAAATCTTATTTTTTTGACGGAAAAAAAAATAAGATTTGATTTTCAGCCATTAAAAAGAAATTATATTACTCTTATTAAACTTATCCCTGTGATTGGCAAAAAGTTACCGTAATACTATCCGGTACATAATATTATTGAAAATCGGGTGTACACAAAAGATATTGTATACAAAGTATATATATTTTTTTTAAAATAAGTTATGGTCAGTTCACATATATGCTTTTGGTTTTATTTTATTTATATTTATTATTTCATATCACACCAAATTACCTAATTTGACTAAACTTTGATGTACGTATATTCATAAATAGAAAATATATATGATGAGGTCTTATTAGATTTGTGTAAATGTATATGATGGGTACTAGAACGGTCTCACATTCCACACTCATTCAAACACATTTATTAGCAAACACCTCACAAATCAAGTACAATGATAAGTAAGACTTTGATCCACAATGAACAGGATATAACTGCTAAGGATCTTAACAAGCAAGCTAGTTTGAAGACTTTGGTTGTTTGAGGTTCGTCAATTAGACAAACAAGCTATGGATTCTAGATCAAATGATTAAAAGCACTAGGGAATGATATCCACTCAACTATGTAATCAAGCATATTGTGAGCAAATGAAAATAAGAGATAATAAGGACTTCATGTAAGATCAACCTCATGCAATTAAGAATACAACTCAAACTCCTAAACTTAGATCCCTCATTAGTTTAGCGATAGGAAATATATAATCAAAGTTGCAATAAGTAATGATAAACTTAATTCTTATTTCTATGTCAAACAAAGAATATCATGCCATCAAGCCCAAAATCAAGGATAGATATTCCTATCAAAGTGAACTAACAAGCAATCTCATATAATCAATTTAATTACAAACCAATCACCACTTCGTACCCTCCCCATCCCCATCCACCCCACTTTGTACTTTCCCCATCCCCACATCCATGTATTTTTAAAAACAAAATGATATACTTTTATACTATTTTATAAAAAAAATTATGTAAAATAAAATAGTATATTATAATACTTTGTAATACACTTATATTATAAACAAAAAAATGTGTTTTATTAACAATGATTTTTTTCTTTTTGCAATCTTTATTAATTGTGAAGGATTGTGCATTTGGGAGGCGGGGATTAGGGGGGTCTTAGGTGGGGATTAGGTGGGGGTGGATATCCAAGTGGGGGGTTGGGGCGGGGATGGTTTTGGAATTTTACCCGCCGGGGCGGGAATGGGGATGAATTTTAGACCCGCCGCGGGGATGGGGATGGGGACGGGTATGAAAATTTTAGATGGGGATGGGGATGGGAAGGCCGAAATCCGCCCCGCCCCGCCCCATTTACATCCCTAGCGCCCGCTCCTCCTTGGGGCGCGCCCGCGCCACCTGGCAGTTGGGATTTCGTTTATTCTTTTAATTGCGAAATTAAAAGAAGAACGGGAGTTCTGGT